TTTACACTTCATTTTTTTCACAAATTTTAAGTTTTATCGTAAGAATGTTAAAAGTTTCCTAATGCCATCTTGCAGCCAACAAATTACACACATTCCTGAGGGCTATAAAATCCAGTGTTTCCACAGCGGAGACCTTAGCTAGAGCTTTTATGAGGAGGAGAGAGGGAGAAAGAACCCTTAAATATTTTAATATTAAGTTGGGTTGAGAATTCTAAAGACAGATAATGAATATTTATGAATATCCTGGCGAGCTGGGGCTGCTGAACACTTGTTTAGAATAATCTATGTTTGAACTCTGAGCAGAGGGTTTAGATAAATATATATACAATTGTATAAAAATATGGTAGAAACCAGGGTAAAATAGTAATTTCATTTTCCAGGTTTGGAGTTAAATTGGTTTATGCCTTGTTTTTGTTTACTATCAGATAATTCTAGGTTAAGTCCTGAGAATCATGTTCCAAGTGTGCGTAATAACAGATTCAACACCTAATTCCATAAATCTTAAGATTATCTTAAACCAAGAAAACCATAAATATATAAATTGGATATTTCTATATTGGATATTTCTATATTGGATATTTCTATATTGGATATCTCCATATTGGATATTTCTATAATGGATATCTCTATATTGGATAACTCCATATTGGATATCTCTATATTAGATATCTCTATATTAGATATCTCTATATTTGATATTTCTATAAACTTTTTAAACTACACCATTTATATATATATGTGTGCATAGCTTTGTGTGTGAGTAAATCTCTATAATAATAATATTGGATATCTCTATAATGCATATCTCTCTATCTCAATGTCTCTATAATGGATATTATTAATTTTTATTTCAATGTCTTTATGCTGGATATCATGAATTTTTATCTCAATGTCTCTATATTGGATATCATTATGTGTCTATAATGGATATCATGAATTCTTATCTCAATGTCTCTATATTGGATATCATTATGTCTCTATAATGGATATCATGAATTACAATTGACTCTGGAAATCATTTTATTAACCTCCAACTCTATTAAGCATCTCTACAGTGTACATTTATTCTCAACACTTTAAACATGAAATTCTTTAAACTGAAGCAAGAAGTTAGCTCTTTGCACCCTTGGAATATTCATGACCAAGGCTATAAAAAAGCATAAGACGGTTGGTGAAGTCAAACCAAGGGCAAAGTTGGGCCTGATTTGAAAAATGGATGCATAATTCTCATGGCTGTGTTCTCGTTCCTCAGTAAGTATATATATATATATATATATATTACAGTGATCCAAAGGTGGAGAGCTCTAGATGAGAATTTTGCTAAATACTTTTTAAAAATAAGTTTAACAACAAGTTCTTTTAAAGTTCTAAAATGTATTTGTCTAGAGCTACCAAAAAGTTTAAGTCAGGTAAAATCAAAGGCCAAGGTGTTGTGACACTTTAGAGTCGACCCCGTCTTGAAGATAGCTGTCTGAATCTATGTGATATCATCATCTGAATCTGTTACGATCTTTAGCATATTCAAAGTCATTTTTTTCATGTTTCTGAATATATTCGAGATCTTGGATTTGAGTTTAATTAATAGATCTTTCGATACAGCCAAATATCCAGCTGTTCAACCGTGCAGGTTTTTATGATATCCGAGTTCATGTATCCCTTCATCATCGTATCCGTTAAACCCTTTATTCCTGTGTCCTTGTATCCCTGCATTTATATTCTTAAGTATATATTGCATCAATGTATCCTGTATTCATATATTCATGTATCTCTGTATCCAAGAATTCAAGCATCCAAGTATCCAAGTATCCAAGTATCTAAGTATCCAAGTATCCGTATATCCAAATATCCAAGTATCCAAATATCCAAGTATTCAAATATCCAAGTATCAAGACATCCAAGTATCCAAGTATCCAAGTATCCAAGTATCCAAGTATCCAAGTATTTAAGTATCCAAGTATCCAAGTATCCAAGTATCCAAGTATCCAAGTATCCCAAGTATCCAAGTATCCAAGTATCCAAGTATCCAAGTATCCAAGTGTCCAAGTATCCAAGTATCCAAGTATCCAAGTATCCAAGAATCTAAGTATCCATGTATCCAAGTATCAAAGTATCCATGCATTCAAGTATCCAAGTATTCAAGTATACAAGTATCCAAGTATCCAAGTATCCAAGTATCCAAGTATCGAAGTATCCCAAGTATCCAAGTATCCAAGTACTACTAGATGCAACCTGTAAACTCAAGTCATCTCCTCTCTAGGATCCCGCTGATCTTCTGATAACTTTATCTAAACTAACTATTTTTCAAGAAAATTAGAAGACAAGATGAAAAAATTATCAAGATCAAAATCATCAAATTCGGTCCGTTGAAGAATGAATGATAAGGGAAAAAGTTAATGGAAAAAGAACAGGTGGAAAAAGGATAAATGTGATTGAAGCTCTGATAGTTTCAAGGAGGGAGGGGATGGGGTGATTCCTGGTATCCTGGTATCCTGGACCCTGGTTTCCTGGTATCCTGGTGTCCCGGTATCCTGGTATCCTGAACTCTGTTCTCCTGGTATCGAAATAGCGGTAAAAACTTGGTTCATGTTTTTACACAGTTTAAATCCGATGGAACTGAATAAATCTTGGTAAATACGATTAGTTTTTCCTTGCGTCGGTTTTATTGAAATTCTAACGAATATATTTCTTTTCAGGAATTCCTGTCAGCCGTTGTCTCATTAATGCGTTAAAGTTTCCGCCGGACATTTGTCTGTGTTTCTTGATAGTGGATAGTTTGTCTAAATTAGATGTTTTTTTCTCATCAAAATCATCAGAATTTCAACCTTATCATGGAATCGGACGGTTATAAAATATCTGGGTTCAATTTGAAGCCGTGAAGATTTCAATATTTCATCACAGGTCTGGAAAAAATGACAAATTACACAAATTTTGATACTCTAATCAAGCGATGATTTTCAAAATTTAGAGTGTGGGATAAGAAGTGTAATAACAATGAAACAATAAGAGAATTAATGGTATGTATTGTGTATACTGTACATATTACAATACAGACTGTACAGTACTGTGTACACTGCAGACTGTACAGTATTGTGTACACTGCAGACTGTACATTATTGTGTATACTGCAGGCTGTTTAGTATTGTGTACACTGCAAACTGTATATTATTGTGTACAGTGCTATACAGTTTACACTGCAAACTACACACTATTGTGTACACTGCAGACTGTACAGTATTCTGTACACTGGAAACTGTATAGTATTGTGTACAGTACTATACAGTTTACACTGCAAACCGCAGACTGTACAGTATGTGTACACTACAGACTGTACTGTACAGTTTACACTGCAAACTAAATAGTATTTTGTACACTTCAGACTGTACAGTATTCTGTACGCTGCAAACTGCAGACTGTACAGTATTCTGTACACTGAAAACTACAGATTGTACAGTATTTTGTTCACTGCAGACTGTACTGTACAGTTTACACTGCAAACAAACAGTATTCATTACACAGCAGACTGTACAGTATTGTGTAATCTCTTTTTGTCTGTCCGAACATAACTACCCCTGGACCGATTTGGCTCAAATTTTGATTGGAAAACTCGGTAGAACCACGGAAATGTTATAACTGTGATTCAAAATTTAAGTTGAATCGGTTGACATTTCTGTGGAAAGTTTCCGGGCAAAGCCGTGTTTCCAGGCTAGTGTCTAATATTAATCAAACATTTCTAGAACTAACACCATAGGGTGTGGGGAGTAATTGGCATATATAGCAGATAGGTAGGTCTGGTGTTTTATACCAGCCGAACCCTGAATACACATGCACCCTGCAACAGTTTATGATTGTGGTTAAAATGTTTAATTGACGATAAAACCTGTAAATATACAGAATTTAATCAGAATCAGACAAATAATCTTTATTTTATTAAACATAACATAACACAGCTTAAAGGGACTGCTCCTTTATTTTATTAAACATAACATAGCACAGCTTAAAGGGACTGCTCCTTTATTTTATTAAACATAACATAGCACAGCTTAAAGGGACTGCTCCTTTATTTTATTAAACATAACATAACACAGCTTAAAGGGACTGCTCCTTTATTTTATTAAACATAACATAACACAGCTTAAAGGGACTGCTCCTTTATTTTATCAATCATTATACAACTTTTAAGGACTGTTTTTTATTTTATTCAAGCATAATATAAGACAACTTGAAGATACTGTTTCTTTATTTTATCAAAAATAACACAAAAAAACTTACGAGGAATGCAAAAACATTGTAGTGAGTAGTGACCAAATTTTCTATTTCAAAAATTCACTAGAATTCCAAACTGAAAGCTTTATGGCAAAATAATGTTAAACTCAAAACATGTTGGGTCCTGTAAAAGTGTTATACTTCTTAAACTAAAAGTAGGTTAATTAATTATTGTCCAACAGGTCATCTTTGTCTTAATCTTTTCAACTTTGTATGTACAGGGTTACCTACAAAGGATGAGACTGTACAGACGGCTGTACAGAATTTTGTTTAGTCTCTTTTTTTCCATTCAGGGTTTCTTGCAGGCTAAACTGCGAGAAACCAAAATTAAGCTTCAAATCGTCATATTTTCAGAGTTGTTTTCACAGTCTCATCCTTTGTGGGTAACCCTGTGAATCAAAATCTACCGATTGAACCCAAAATAATTAATATTCCGCCGTTTTATAGAGAAAACAGGATTATGTTTGCTTTCTTTTACAAGGTTTCAGCTGGTACAACACAAACTACATGTATACAAGGAGATACTATATGACTCTACTGTGAGAACTGTTTTTAAAATCTACATCTACCTGATTTTACTCAAGTACACCTGATCTATTATAACTCTATTGCGAAGGAGTATATATCTGTTAACAATTAGTGTTAAGTTGGTTACCATTAAACTTGAGTAAAGAGCTAGAAGCATAGAATAGACCTGCAGCATTTCATAGATAAGGGATAAACTTAGGAAATTATGTTTATTGATGTCCTCCAGGTGCCCCTGAGGGTTGATCCAACCTCCTCCAGGTGCCCCTGAGGGTTGATCCAACCTCCTCCAGGTGCCCCTGAGGTCTGATCCAACCTCCTCCAGGTGCCCCTGAGGGTTGATCCAACCTCCTCCAGGTGCCCCTGAGGGTTGATCCAACCTCCTCCAGGTGCCCCTGAGGTCTGATCCAACCTCCTCCAGGTGCCCCTGAGGTCTGATCCTAACCTCGTCTTATAAATAGTATTTTTATCCGAGCCTCAAGCAATATCGTCTTTACCACACAGCCTAGCACTAGCATTACACACGTTTAAAATATCCAATATTTTTGGTTCAAATTGGAAGGATGATGTGAGGGGGGATATAGAAGGGTTGGGGTGAGGGGGGGGGTTAATGCAGAGGGGGAGGGGACTGGGGGGATGGATTAAGAAAGAAAAGGGTGGAGGGTGATGATATACTTAAAGTAGTAATTTTAGCAAATATATCATTTAGACATGTCTTAATCCTAACAAACTTACACCCTGGCACACACACACACACAACAATCAACAATACTTTTTACTTCAAGAATAAGATATTTTTTTGCAACAGAGTTTAATTTTTTTTACAGCTCCAGAAATGTTTGTAAATTATATAATACTTTTTTGAGGCTGGTTTTAATTGGTATGTCCAGATTCAGATTGACAGTAGAAAAACTGTGTAGATTACCCTGAGTCTCCCGTCCTCTTGTCGTATATTTTTAATATTATTATTATTATAATAATTTATTATTATTATATTATTATATATTATTATTATTTTATTATTATTATTATTATTATTATATTATATCTGAATATAATCGTGTACCTTAAGGACTGTACGCGTGAAGTGACCTCGATGCAAAGATGCCAATGTACAATTTATAACTATACCCTTAAAAGCGTAGGATCAAGTGTGAATAAGATGTTTTTGTTTATTTAAACTGTTTAAATTCTTTGCAGTTTCCATGCAAAAGTGACTTGCGCAATTCTTGGTTAAAAGAAACATTGGATTAACTCACAGAAATAAACACTGGTTGAGTCAGACAAACGACGTTATCTTCAACATTTTTGATTAGATTAAGCTTTCAAGAGTACCGTTGTAAAACTACGCTTCAGTTCCTTTCAGTTTGTCTCCACGAGTCCCACTAAACATGATGATCAAGAGGCGATTTAAATATCGTCTTAGATTACTAATCTAATGACCGAAAAAAGGTTTCACGATCTTAAACCTTCTAGAATATCTCTTAACTAGACTGTAAGGGCGTTTCACGCCCATCTTCTATTTTGATTGTGAACATTTTCTCGAATAAAAGTTTGCGGATTTTTGAAAAAAATCGTGAATTTTCAAAATTTTATGTTCATCGAATTTTGTTGGAGGCAAATTTTTTAAATGTTGATCATCCATAAACCTTCCCTGGGGTCACGCGAGGTCCCACAAATAATTTGGGCCCGGACGGTTCAGCCGTTTTAAAGTTTATTGGATGCAAACAAACAGACAGACACCCAAACAAACAGACAAGCAAAGTATATATATATAGATTGGTTGATTAGATAAAGATTATAAATGGTTGAATATCACAATATAGCTCATGTCTCTCTACTATAAAGAAATGATAATTTTAATAGGAGACTAAACTTGTTGTATACCAAATAAAATGTGAATGTTAATGAGCAGTTTGAGATTATGATTTATTATGATCAAATGATCTTACCAGAGTATATTATACCTTGATAAACCAACCTACTGCATTATTGTGAAATTCTGATCAAACCNGTATTCCATACTCCAGGGGTATTCCATACTCCAGGGGTATTCCATACTCCAGGGGTATTTCATACTCCAGAGGTATTCCATACTCCAGGGGTATTCCATACTCCAGGGGTATTCCATACTCCAGGGGTATTTCATACTCCAGAGGTATTCCATACTTCAGGAGTATTCCATACTCCAGGGGTATTCCATACTCCAGGGGTATTCCATACTCCAGGGGTATTCCATACTCCAGGGGTATTTCATACTCCAGAGGTATTCCATACTCCAGGGGTATTCCATACTCCAGGGGTATTCCATACTCCAGGGGTATTCCATACTACATATTCTATACTCTAATCTAATATAATTCACAGATGCATTTGAATTTTTCCCGCCAAACTTGATGTTTGTGGCATTTTATAGATTAATTATTATTATTCTTTTCTGACCTTGGGATAAATTCTAAACATTTTTCAAATTTATCTTTTTCTGTTGGATCATCCTCCTTCAGAATTCAATCTTTTTGTGGCCAAATAATTTTCAACGCTCTGACAAATTATTCTTTGACACAAATCTGATATTTTCAAGAGGTATTTGGAAAAAATCCTGAAAAATCATAGTTAGGGATATTTTTAGAGCTCAATGGTCCGGGATTGATTTGACTCCATTCATTGGGCAGCGTTGAATTCAAACTGGAACAGGGTGACTTGAGTTCGGAAATTTTAGAATTTAAGATCTTCGTAAGAAGCCTAGATTCAGTAGTATTTAGTTTTTCCTATTAACATATGGGATAGTTTATAGATTCAACATACTTATTTATTTAATTTTAAAGGGACTGTCGTTGTAATTTCAAGAGGGCATGTCCAATTCACAACGGTACCCTTTAAAACTTAATCTAATCAATAATGTGGAAGACGACATCATGGAAGTGATTAATTCTAATAAGTATCTGATTTCTGGCCACAAATTAACTTTTCTAATCTCTTATCTCTATATCTTTGACGGGGTAAACCTTTTATATTTCAAACTTAGACTATTTTATCCAACAGAATTTATAGTTTGAAATACCAAATGTACGTCTACGACATAGGGGTTTAAAAGGGTAAAACCCCAGTTTCATTCTCCATTGTCCGGAAGCAGGAAAGGCGTTAAGAACTTTTGTAGTTAACCCTCACACTTGAAATAATCAGTTTTCAAAATGGATTTATAATTTATACTTGATCAGACAAAGCTAGCTTTTAAGGGTACCGTTGTGAATCAGACATGCCTATACTACCTCAGAGCTTGAGTTTGGATTTTTATCTTTCTACTTTTTCTGCTTATCGGATCGAAAGGGGTTAGATATCAGTTTGGTGATCAAGGATTATCTGGGTTAGTTCAAATTTACTCCGTCTATAAACCTTGTGAAGCTTGAAAAAGGTTGAGAGGTTGGTATTCATGAATTCAGTTTTTACCCCAAGTGTCAACTTTGACCCTCCACCAATCCAACCAATACACAAGGAATAATGTGGTGTCAAAAGTATTTTTATTATCGGCCCCTTTTTAAATCTTGGTTGAAAATTCGTATTCATGACGTTTCATTTTAACTAATTACATATTTTTAAATCTTCAAAAAGGCTTCCCACTTTCTGAAACCTTTTTATTTTAATTTGGTTTAAAAAATAAATTGAAGTTTAATCTGCGTAAGAAATAGTCTCGTAAAGTTTACAGTGTACCCTGTATTGAATTATATACCTGACTGAATAACAAAATATAAAGGATAAATTTGTCAAATATTAAAATATCCAAGTACCAGGAGAACCTGAATAACCCGGAGAAGGAAGAGAAAACTCTCATAAATCCAATTATTCTCTAAAAACTTCAATCCAGTATCCGGGTCCTAGTTTCAATAGGAAAGTGTTGAAAGACCTGAGATGGTTTCCTTAGGTTCAGATTTAGTTCCTGGAAGAATAAACATCCCTTATTCACACAAAATAAACACAAAACTATTCATATGATTATATTAATACTATTAGATGGAAATTGGTTTGATTGGTTTGACTCGTTTGACAACGTCAAATAAGACAGAATAAAAAAACAATTACACTGTTAACTGTTAAAGGATTATCAACTGAATAGTAGGTGCATGGATCTTCAAAAATTATGTGATTCGCTGCAGTAGCTTGTTAATCTTTTTAATGACAAAAAAAGTTTTTTGTCGTTTTTTAAGAATCAGCTTTTAAGGGGGGACTATATTCGGCAATCATTATTCTTCTGCATGGGTTCGTTCAATGTTTGGATTTTAATGTAAAATTCAGTCTCTAGAGCTGAGTGACAAAACTTAATCAATTTTAAGGTTTGATTCCAGTGTAAAGAAAATTTCTCCGCGTTCAATCGTATAATCTTTGTATTGTGAGGAGAATTCCAATCCAAGTATCATATTCAGATTCACGGTGGGAATCCAGGCTTACACTCACCTTATCAAGATTTTAGATTCTCCAGGGTATGTTTAGCATACTAGAGACGGAGAATTAATAGTTTCTCTTAAAGATATAGAATTCAAAGATTGTCAGTCAGAATTAATGAAATATCTGGCCTAGGCAAAACCCCGATGAGCGTCATCAGTTATTGCGAATAATCTTGTTTATAGATATTTCTTCTTTAGTGACGTCAGTTTAAACTAGTTTTAACTAGTTTTTAATGTACGCAGCATTACTCCTGAATCTGCTAATTTTATAATTTATCAGAAATGATAAAAAACAAGGTAAGGAGGAGACTTTTCTGAGGAGAGTATCGTCAATCTTGAATATGCTTGATATCGATATCCAATGTGGGCAATTTTGATGATGAATGCTTGAGCCCTGAAATATCTTATTTATCTCCGAATGTTATCCTAGCAGTTATCCAAGTTATGTGCTAACTTTGTGTAATACTAACTTAATTACAATTTGACTTTGAAAATGGTCGTTATTTTATTCAAAATTTACTTGGATGCCTATATCTATGGAAGATCGAATAAAGAAACCCCTGAATGGTTTAGAGAGGGTGGGGCGGGGGGGGGGGGGGTAAACAAAGGATCATCACTAACGGAAACATTTTTACCCAGACATTCCTCCGGATTTAAAAGTTTCCAAGTATGGGAATGAACTGCTCTAATATGATACTAGGTGCCGGAGAAAAGTGATAAAAGAACCGAGAATCAGTAATAAAATGGAGACTGTAATTTACATCGGTATGTGGGTCAAGAATTTTCTTAGATTGATATCTTCTGATTTATTCTTGGAAAGAGGAGACAAAAAGAACTTTAGCATATTTCTCAACCTTATCCCCAGACTGTCCAGCCTACCCGGAGAAAAAGCTTGGCATCGCGCAACCTGTAAAAACATGCAGTTTTTGCAGGTTTATCCAACAGGTTTACTCCAGATTATTCTTAGGACGCTTATCAATCAGTTTGTCAAGAGCGTTTAAAAGCTTCTATGGGAGCGAAACATGTTTATTTTTAAGAGAAAGGAGGGGGGGGGGGTTATGACATTGATTACGGAAAGGTAGTTTAAAAGAATAAGGTATAATTGTATAACTTTTTTTTACATATTTTGATTTTTACAGAAATGCTTTTCTTCGAAATTTTCCACTAGAGCTTGATTAGTTGCCAAGTTAGAATTTTTAAAAAAGACCAAATTTTCAGTTTCTCCAACCCTGGAGATAAATCCAGAATTCTTCTCAGTATTCACTAATAACCCCCGGACCTGGAGAAATGAAGAATGTGTTGGGTTGGGTCGGAATGTTTTTTCTTTCAAAAATGTTATCCCAAACCATTTGTTTCTCTTGTTTGGGATAAAAGAACTCACAGAAAACCCCCCTCCCCTGCCATCCCTCTCTCCTCCTCCCCCCACTCCTACTTGTAATGAAAGCCTGAAGAGAAGGAGCGACTAATATCACATTTTGAAATATATCGGAATGTATGGAAGAGGGGTCTGACACTCTAACTTTCTAGGATAGATTTAATGAAATCTATTAAATTCATCACAGGGACCCCATTTGTAAATCAAATAAAGCAATGCATGTTATTTGTAGATGAAATGAGAAGCGGAGAAATAACTTGCTCCGCTACATCATCAAGGAAGAAATCCAACAACAAGATAAGATAAATCCACAAACCAGTAGTTCCGGAGAACGAGAACTATTCATTCTTCTCCTCACATATACTCTTTTTCCATATGTGATTATTTATCTTTCTATAAAAGACTAGCTATCGTTTTAGGTTCAGGAAGATATATAATTTATTTCAAAGTTCAAAGACAAAAGGACTTTTTTCTCTTCAAGGTTTGTTTTATCCTGACCTCTGAGAACCTGAGAGAGGAAGGAAAAATGTGGGAGAAATATCACGAGTACGGGTCGGCGCCATGGTAGAACTGAAATTTGTCTTCCTGAAGATATTTCTAAATCTCAATATGATAGAATCTGAAAAAGCTCCCCCCTCCCTCCCCTCTTTATTATGTTATGAATGCTATTTGGGAGAAGTGAAACCTTTCAGAAGAGATATTTAAAAGATTCCCGCATTTATTTCTCTTTTTAAAATTTTATATCATTGCGGAACAATTTAATAATTGCGGCATGTATATTTCTTCCTATGCTTTTTTATCTAGTATCTGTCAATGATCCGCAGAATAAAGGAATTGAGTCTTTGCCACAAACTCTGCTTTTCTAAACCCTATATCTTTGGATTCCAATGTCGTAGACCTTAGATATTTCAAACTATGAATTCTGTTAGATCAAATAATATAAGTTTGAAATATCAAAGATTTACGACATTGGGTTCCAAAGAAATAAGGATTTTAAATTAAGAGATTGTGACAAAGACTCAATTCCTTTGCGGAAATATAAAAATTCAATCATATTTTGTTTCTTCTGGATATTGGTAAATAATTAAAATGGCACGTACACCGTCAAAAATAAACGATTTAGAGGGAGTGGGGGCGGGGGGGGGGGGGAGGTCGTAATATGCGTAAAAATAATGTTATGGTGCCGTTAAGTAGATGTAATTTTTTTAGGAACTTTTATCTATCTATCTTTCTATCTATCTGTCAAGGTGTCTGTATCTATCTATCAATTTACCTATCTATCTATCTATCCATCTATCTGACTTGAGATCTGTTGAACCTGACACTGATGGATAAGAAGAATACTAAGTAGTTGAAATTGATCTTAGGGTCAAAATATCTTAACTCCTCAAATGCTTTAACCCCAACCTAGAGCAGAGCCTGATCCAACCCTTACCTAGATTAATCCCTAATCTACTCCTACCTAAATTAATCCCTGATCCACCCCTACCTAGATTAATCCTTGATCCATCCTTAC